TACCACGAATTTCCGGTCCGCTGCTCTACCACCTGAGCTACCTAGGGCTGACGATTAGGTGCGCAAATTTTAAACACATGTCTTCTGCTTGGTGCGCGACGTGTTGCCAATAAGCTCACAGTACCTGTCCTTGATGTTTCAGATTGGCTCACTCACCCGTCACTTTCCAATAGACCGAAGTTTCCTGTCCTTCAGACGTCCAATGGGCGATGGTAGATTAATGGTGGATGCTTGTGAGTAGTGTAAAGTTCGAAGAAAGTAGAAGCCACGATTAAAATTCACGCACAATGATATGCCTGGACGGGGAGTCGAACCCCGGTCCACGAATTTCCGGTCCGCTGCTCTACCACCTGAGCTACCTAGGGCTGACGATTAGGTGCGCAAATTTTAACACATGTCTTCTGCTTGGTGCGCGACGTGTTGCCAATAAGCTCACAGTACCTGTCCTGATGTTTCAGATTGGCTCACTCACCCGTCACTTTCCAATAGACCGAAGTTCCTGTCCTTCAGACGTCCAATGGGCGATGGTAGATTAATGGTGGATGCTTGTGAGTAGTGTAAAGTTCGAAGAAAGTAGAAGCCACGATTAAAATTCACGGAAATTCGTGGACCGGGGTTCGACTCCCCGTCGAGGCATATTATTGTGCGTGAATTTTAATCGTGGCTTCTACTTTCTTCGAACTTTACGCTACTCACAAACATCCACCATTAATCTACCATCGCCCATTGGACGTCTGAAGGACAGGAACTTCGGTCTATTGGGAAGTGACGGGTATGTAGTATCAGTCTGAGACTTGCCTACGCTTACGAGATCACTTTCCACTTTTCTGACATACTACAAGTTATTGAGGAGAACAACGCTTATTTCGCAAAAAGTTCTCAATTGTTCGACAGCTGCGCATCTGAAGGATTCAGTTCTCATACGTAGAGTGACTATACGCGTGTGAGATACTCTTCATACGAAACCACATCTTCTACATCTATAGGTTCGAAAGGTAGACCCCTGAAGTTCTCTATAGTCGAACGTGACCTACGTCACTGTTTCGGGATGACGGGTTGTTCTGAGCAAACAAAAATGGCAACCAAAACTGAAGCACGATGTCACTGATCTGGAGCATACTCAACGTCGGGGTTTGCAAGTGCGCCATTGGAACGCGTAATTTGCCATATGATAAGAGGCGACAACACGGGCATTATCGATTAGCTGATAATCTGCTAAGGCTTAGATTGTTCTGAGTTAAGCAAATCATGTGCGCCGCTATTTACTGCAGTTTAACAATAACACCTAACTGAGATCATTCCTTGAAACTGGCAGAATAGTATAACCGCCCCGAGTGTTGCGGAATTCTTTTTTCTGTTCCTGTGTGTCGCCCCTGGTAAAACACCACATTCGATCTGTTTCGCAACAGTCCAACTCATGTGTGAGAACGGTTGGAGGAACCACTCAGGCACTTACATGTCTTAACAACCACAATGGGAACCATGACGCAAGGATATGAAATATTCCCCAGGAGCAAGCTCAATCGAACAACGACATAACAAAGGCAATAGGCGAGCGAAACCTCGGTGAGGATGCCGATGTGCACTGCGCGCACACTCATCCTGATTCGAATCGCTACATCCATCAAACGCGGACCTTTCAATATTGCGCTCAGTGAGCATGTGACACCCCGAAACACACCGCGGTTTACACACTCTCCACGTCCCTCGGGTGTCACTAGCTCTACTTCCGTGCCAGCCGATGATTGACAATGGTATGTGTGAGCGACTTCATGTCATTATTCCCAAGGGTCACTTCCTTCGCACTCATTCACGTGGGTGCCTCGGACAGCTTAGCGCTGAAATGGGTGGATACACCGCCCAATCATATTTCACGTCTAAGTGGAAATGCTTGAAAGCTTAAGTGCCAAACACCATGATCACTCGTGACTGCTAAGCCCAGATGGCACGATGGGAGTTTTACGAGTATACCCCCTAGCATGTGTGTAGTTTCAGTGTAGCCAATCAAGCCTGAATACGAGTCTCGAGCGCGACTGGGCACCCACCAAATCGCACGCGATCTGCGCCACCCCCAAACATCTCTGTTAACTCATGTCGTAAACTAGTCTGATATGCCATTGGTTGAGTTGGGATTGGTCACCCAACGAGTGGGGCGTTTTGGTGCGTTCGCGCCAGGTGGATGATATTTGATTGCGTTAAGGCGAGTTCTGCAAGATGTATGGCCGAAACCTATTTCCTTAACGCTAACTTTGAAAGCGTTATGGAGGCAATTAACTGAGAAAAGGTGTAGAAGACGAAGCTCTGCAGATGCATGCATTCCGTATCGTCTCATCAGTGCCGATAACGATAACCGGTAATGTTATATAACAGTTTGTGGGTACAGACATACATACAAACAAAGGAGAGAAAAAAAGGGGTGTCTTTGTTCTACAGCCAGGGCAGCCTGAGGCTGACCGATAATCGTTTTTGAACACAAAGCACTGGCTTAATCCGATTAATGGCAATAGCCTCGGCCAACCGGAGGAGCCGGGAATTAGTATGACGAAGCAAGATTCTAAACGCCTTGTTGAGCTCAATTCGGTGACCCGAGGTCAATAAGTGCCTGTCGATCGAAGATGCTGGCGGCCTGCGTACACATGTAGTCTGAATTGGGCTTGCTTGCTGAATAAGTCCGAACTGAACCCATTTTGGTACATGCTGCTTAATTTGGGAACTCAGTGTTCCATTGGTTCTGCCTATGTAACTATCCCCGCAGTTACATACGAATTGATATACGCAGTGGGAGTTGGCGCCAATAGACTGAATTTCCTTTAGTGGCGGCAACGGTAGATTATGAGTTCGGTCGATGCTTACAACTTCGGCAGCACAGAAAGTGCTCTTTGTGGCGGAAATCAGACGTCTTCTGGTCCTCAATGAAGCAATGTCACCCTTAAAAGGCAGCTCCAAGAATACCTTTTTCTTAGGCACAGTAGGTATAGCAAGTTTCATTTCACGAATTTCACTGTGCTTCCGGATAAACTTTCGAGCGTAGCCATTAGCAATTAACGTGTTGGTAATTAATTCTAGTTCAACGGCTAGACAATCGCTCGAACATATTCGTCTGGCGCGACTAAACAGGGTCTTCACAAGCGTTCGCTTGTGCCGCATTGGCGTAAAGCTGTTAAAATGCAGATACTGTCCCGACCACTTTGTTGTTCGATAGACAGACCGTTTTACCAGTCCGTCCTCCCTGCGGCTGATATGAACATCCAAATATGGAAGACAGTTCTGTTGTTCAACTTCACAGAAAACCCACAAATTGGCATGCGCAGAGTTAAAACGTGCCACTAGCTGTGCGTTTTGCATTTCTGTCGAACTGAGCACCAGGATATCGTCAACGTAACGTTTGTAATAGGGTAACTGCGCTGTTTCCTCGGATAGGCTTCGTTCTATCATTTGCATAAAGAAATCCGCTAGTATGGGGCCCAGTGGGCTACCTCATGAATTTGGCGATACTGTATGTTTCGGAAGTGGATATCGACATTCTCTATGCATAGAAGTAATGATTCTCTTAAGAATTCAACTGGAATCGGCAACGGACATTCGGAACTTTCTGCTAATTCACAGATGTAGTCAACAGTCTGGTGTAACGGCACGTTAGTAAACAAAGATTCCACATCTAAGGAACACATTACCTTATCGGACAAGTTCATTTTATCGAGGTCTTCCACAAGATCGAAGGAATCTTTGAGACCATGTAGATTAAACTGAGCTTTTAGCGGAAAAAGCACATTAACTAACCAGCGAGCTAATTTATGTTGGGGTGCATTTGTCATCGAGAGGATCGGTCTGAGCGACACTCCGCTCTTGTGCGTTTTGGAAGCCCATATAGCTGTGGTGTAGTTGATCCACTTGGCTTTAAACTGTTATAAGTAGCGCTGTCGATTACGCGATACTGATGAAGCATTTCTAATTGGCGAATGATTGGGGTTTCGAACGCAGTCACATTCCCTGCCTTCTCCAGTCGTTTAAATTTGTTAGTGTCACTGAGTATGATACTCATCTTCTCGGTGTATTCAACTTTGTTCATGACTACAACGCCTGAATCCTTATCCGGCTTCATTACAATGACTTCCTTATCGCGTAATTCGCGTAACGCTCCTAGGTGTTTGTTCGTAAGCGCAAACTTTTATTGGCGCATTTGTTACTTCATAAGCAACATCGGTCAGTTAGTTTACAAACCATATAAGCTTATCGGTACTAGTTGGTTGAAGGTCCTTCAACCCACAAACTTATCGCGGATTCGTTGCTAACCAACTTACTTCATATGGCAATTTAGCGAAGAGTTTTGCCACCGTATTTGTATGCATTATTGGATTTATTTTATTTTAGCTTGTCGTTTCAAGTGTATGGTTGTTGGTTGATATCCCCGGTGTGGCTGCGTTTGATGTGCATGTTGACAAGATGGCTACCTGTCTATTACCCACTACCTCGTCCATACTGGCTCCAGGAGAAAGTTGGTCGTTGCTGGAGGGGACGGGGTGCACGGTCCTTGTGGCCGTGCTAGGCTCGCAGAGTGGTTCCATGCACGCCGTGTGGAGCGGACTACGGTCCAGCCACCGCCTTGTGTGTGCGCTTGATTCCCCAAATACAGCGTGCTTGTGTTTGCCTGTGAAGGAGTGTGGGCCGGCTCCGTTGATGAGACGTGGCTCCCATCCACATGTCTGCCGGTCTTATTCCTTCGGGTTTACACTGGATATTGGGTGTGTGGATGGAGCTGTGGGTGGTGCAGCGGAAGTCACTCGTGGTCCCTCTGTAGGCGCAGGCGTCCCGTGGCTGGCCACAGTGACAGGCAAATCCGAAACCGGATGCCACCAACCAACCCACAAACTGTTATATAAAACTACCGGTTATCGTTATCGGCACTGATGAGACGATACGAAATGCATGCATCTGCCGAGCTTCGTCTTCTAATTGTGCTTTTCAAGTTACTGAAGGGAACTAACTGTTTTAAATATTCGACTTTTCTTCTGGCAAATATCAACATCCTTATTAGACTGGCTAGCTTGTCGGGTATGCTGTGGAATTTATTCACTGAAATCTGCTCTGCACCACCCACCGCGGTTTCAACCCATAGAGAACGACTTTAACACTACAACCTCCCATTTACTTTCAATAACAAGATGTCTCTTTCGTCTCCGGTGTACTTGAACAACAGTTTCGGCTATCTTTGTAGATTCAGCCACCGTCACTTGTTCTCATCGGAAACTGCTAAAGCAAGTAGTAGGGGTGTGGAAAGTTTCCAGTGGTCTCCTAACAGCACAACTCACACGGATGTCATCATTCGAAAAAGCTCCAGTCGATTAGTACACCCAGTTGGAGCTTTTTGGCAGCTCTAATCTGCCGGCTACTGTTGGATCCGAACCCACAACTGTTCAGTTTGCACTTACTGACTTACGCTGATACGTGTCTTTGTCACATGAGTTATCACCGTCACTAATGCTCCAGTGGCATAATTCGCTGACAATAAGGTGAGCTGTCAGGGGTTTGAGCCCCTAAGAATTCGGAGTGAATGCGCTGTTCCAATGGGCCCTAACTGGATAACACAGCCATCCAGCACTTTTTCAGATGTCGTTGACTGTATACTTCAACGCGGCTGGAAAAATATATTTGTTTGGAAAGCCTTGACCCGTCGCGCCAATTATGACTCGGCTATTAGGTATAGGAGTTGCATTCTTTAATCCCTTTTAGTTGTAGTCCTTTTCACTTTGGATAGTCACAATTTGCCCCAGACACTCCTATCCCATTCACATAAATGACTTGGAGGCCGACTTTTCTTGTTTTCGTTCAGCCATTTTGGCTCGTATGTGTTTTCGGCCAGTGGCCTAAAGAATGTGGCATCCTCCTTGTGACCCACTAGTTACACGTTCAAGTTTGCCTAGGTGCAAATGATCACGCAGTATCACTATTCCGCGCGCGAATGGTGGTGGCCACGTGGCACTGAAGCATCAGTGCTGCAAATCGGTGCACCGCTGACTCCCGTGCCCTGTTGAATTACTAAGGTCGCTATGTCACTTCAGTTACGGCGGCCATTCTGTGTTAATTGTCGTGAAACACCCGTCCCGCCCTAAACTTAGCATCATTTGTCCAAATTCCTGGCTCGACTAACTTTGATATTCTTGAATCTGCATGACATTTGCCTTCCTTTGCTTCACTTTGTCATACGGTCTTTGTGTCCTCTGTTTCCAGGCTGATTGTTTACTAGAGATGATACAAAGCCAACGTTGCTTCTCTCGCTGCATTGTTCACATTGATATGGACGCATTTTATGCTGCGGTGGAGATCCGGGATCAACCTGAACTGCGTGTCCACCCTGTCGCAGTGGGCAGTAACACTATGCTAGTACGTGGAACCCTTCCATCCATTTTGTGGTTATCCATACTTGTGCGGATCACTTATCGAAGTGGTAGCTACCTTATTACATCTAGTCATCATCAGGCATCACTTGCATTAAAATATCAGTCGTGCTTCGATGGTCAAAGCCACTCCCAAGGTCTATACAAGGTTTTGCTCAATATATATCATGGCGTTTCAAGCAGTCCACCCCCAATTTTCGCAACTCGTTTTGCTTTACCCTCACAAGCAAGGGACCTATTATGATAAACCAATTCACTCCAAATATTTCCGACATCCTGTAACGAATAACTACATTGTGATAATGAAAACCTCGGAAAAAACTGAACTTGTGCACATCCCCGATTCATTTGGATCAGCTTATTGCTTCATGATGTAATCAACCGATCACGCCGATCTAGATGTAACTAGTGCAAACCAAGGATGAACATACCCATACCCAAGACCACTAACGGCTTGCGCCAATAGCCAGCAGCTTATGCCAATGAGTCAACGGGAACGATAAGTGACACCTGATGGTCAACCACTGTTCGCTACACGAGCAGTAACTTGCATGGCAGTAGAGGATGGGTCGGGATGTATCGCAGCTAGAGTTTAATCCTTGATGGCCAGCTACCGTCCCCTATGGCTCAATGACATAAGCTGCTGGCTAGTAGTGCCAGCCACTGACGGTCATGGGTTAGGTTCCCTGAAGGGGGCTGAGGAAATGTGCACCACGGACGAGCCCCGATAGGGCGAAATGATCGTCTGGTACTTTTTCTGGTTCGTGCTTGCCGTATCTGACTCGGAATCTAATCATGATCAAATAACCAACGTTATTTATCTACTCATGAGTGGAGCGATTTAAATTGTTGGGGGTTCTTCACATTGCCTTCCAAATCACAGTCTTCCACATGCCCGGAAAAGCACCAGATTCTGGGCATATGGAGGACTGTCTGATTTGGGAGGTACTGCGAAGTAACCCCCACTAATTTATTTCTTATGTATCTTTTTTTCACTCTCTATTACTCTGTTGTCATTTGTGCAGCAGTCTTCCATAGGAAAGTAGCCATCACTCAACAAAGTGCGCAGCGTATACCACCGGTTCACTGTTAGCGCTCTTCTTGATTCATCGCCCGGAGGTCATCCACCACTTCGTCCACCTGCCAAGCACGCTTCATGCGGTGCGTGATCAGTTATGTCCCTGTGATGTTCCTCGTTCTCAATATTGCGCAGCTTAGGTTTCACTTTGCAGTCCTTGCACAACTATCCCTCGTTTTCACCTCTCAAATTTCTGCCTGCTAGTAGTTTCAAATAGCACTGCAATGTTCATACTCGTATGCAGTCCACTTTTTGCTAGTCGTCTGAAAGTAGCACCACCCATCTATTATTTAAGGAGTGAAGATTTATTGAAGCTATGCGGTGACTTATAGTTTAGACGATGTGACCTATTTACCATTTCTTGAGATTCTTTTCTGCCGCCTTGTCGATCGATGCGGTTTCTATCTAACCACCCGCCTTAGGACCGATTATTTGTTTTCGCTAATAATGCACAGACTTTGATCATATCATTGTTTAAGTTTACAAGCACTTTGTTGCTCGTAGCACTTCATTCTTAGCTGCTCTTTACTCGTACCCTTCCAAAGTGTTGTCTTGCATTGACACAATGAGTATATGCACATAGTCCTTATGTTTCCTTCCCAGATTCTTTCTACCGTTTCTCCCCTTGCAGGCTACCAGTAATTATATTGCTCGGCGCTTCGGTGTTCGCGCTGGTCTCCCTGGATTTTTGGGTAAGAAGCTGTGCCCAACTCTACGTATCATCCCACCTGATTTCTCCCGTTACACCGCCGCTAGCCACGACGTACGCAAAGTACTTCAGCAATATGCCAGGATATGTGACGATGTCTCGCCACATGCCACTCGGGATAGGTTCGGTTCTGAAAATGAGACGGACAGTGCACCTGCGGCCATTGCATCCACGAGTTTGGATGAAGCTTACATTGATTTGACGCGTCATCTTGAAGGGCGGATCAACACCACGGAGAATGAACGCACATTTTGGCCCCGATCAGCACCCGGCTCTCCTATGCTGATTTGTCGGTATGCTTGCTTTCTTTCGTATTTGTTTCCTCTGTGTCCCTGATGAATGCGATTTGCGACGCAATTATGAATTTATTTTCGATGTTTCCCGTGTGCAGTATTGTACCCCACGACCGCTTTCGCTTTAGTTTAAACTCTCCGTGTAGGCACAGCTGACGCTCGGATCTGGGATTACAAACCCCATCACATCAGTCCACCGGATTCCACAAATAACACATGTCACAATTAACTTTGTGGTCTTGGTTCTCTCGCTGTATCTATATATCCAAGGTTGTTCGTCTGTTAAACGGCCTGTATACATGAGGGTGAAGCAGGTCATTGCTTTGATTTGGGAAACGTAAAGGTTCTGGCACTAAGGCATACGACTCAGATAACTGATTTCTTTGATGCATGACACTCCACGAAGAATTCAATCAATCGGCACGTTGTATTTGACACCATATGCGCAAATCTATGAGCAAGGAACCACCATCACTGGTCGAATGCCTCTGATGAACAGTTCAGGCAATATTTTCCGCCGAGGAGGAAAACGGGCCATGATCGCGGATCATGGATCGAAGTGGCCATTTTCAAAAGCCACCTGCCCATACAGCCAATGATGCTGACCTATAAAAACGCACACGCGCGACTATCCGGTTCACACCAACTTACGTATCGCTTCGCTGCACCGCACGTTAACGCACTGATGATGTCACCACGACTGGTGACGAAACGCTTGAAACAAAATTGCCAAGCTCAGCGAACTGTTCGTCTAACAAATACTCGCTGTATTTCAACGGATCTAGAACAACCAACATTTCAGCGGATTAATCTGAATTGAGTATATTTCGTGTATTCTCTTCTCTCTCTTACTTAAAATAGGTGAAAACTACAGACAGTTAGGAATGCCAGGTCAATGCCAGAAATCGATGATTACTTGTGCTAGTGTTTGCAACACCCGATGGCAGAACCTTCAGCAAAACGTAGCAAGTTATAATTGTTCTGGTTGTTGATCACCTTGAATGCATCGCGGGCGTTTTGGCACATCGAGCAGTCGAGTAAGTGCCGGGCAACAAACCTAGCAGTTAATGTTACACCACAGTTAGATTTCACGGAATATGTTCCGAAATTTTCGCTGTATGTTTGGAGTGCTATTCACGATATCAATTCGTGGCAAGCCGAACAGCCTCCTCGTAGTGCCAGCTTGGCGATTCGGGTTTAACCCATCCCAGCTGACTGTTCGGCGGCAGTGTTCCAGGACGTGGGGGGTTTACGCCTGGCAAATGTCCTTCCTATACAAAGCCACCAGTGTCTGTTTATCACCACTATGACCTGGCGGTTGTGACTCGTCACAAACTAAAGTCACTGCTCCGCGAATATCCGAATAATACTATTTAACTCACGGACATCAATTGTCTGTTATCACATTGCCGGCGCTATCAAACAGTCAAGAACGCAGCAGCACATTTACAAGCACAAACTACACAGTTGACTTCACCGCGCGGACACAAAATCTCCGGCCTCGTACACTAATCGGATATACGGTCACACCTCTCATCACACACGCGTGTGCTTACACATTCCATCCAACTTCATCAGCGCTATTTAGTGCATCCCATCTTTCGGATCCAACTTGTGTGGATCATTTGTAATTTCAACCCCTCGCTTTTCGCACTGTTTCCACGGAAACACAACCGAGGAATTTTCCGAACCCCGGGCCACATAGCAATATTCGTGGTCTCAAACGAAAGTCAACTCAGAAATCTGAACGATGAGCATTAAACCACAACTGTCGACAGCTAAGCGAAGTAGCTATCCGACATTTTTTGTCCCTATCGCTTACTCGCTTTAACTCAATCTTATAGAGATTAACGAGCAAAACATCTATCCACTTAATCCTAATCTGCTATCCGTGTTGACCTTGAAACTGCAGGGACGGATAGACAACTACACTGTTGACCGGAGAGGCATCGACCGGTGCAATGGTTTTTAACGACCAAACAACAGTTGCCCCTTATTCCACACCCACGCTGACAGTAGTATGTGGCTTTCTTTCATGCCATAAAACTGTACGAACCGGAATCCAGTGTTCAAATTCCGCAGCAAGTTTCATTCTAAATGTCCAAAACTCACGGTAAACCAGTTGAAGATACATACTAGTGAACCAGATTCTCTACGGTTCTGTGAAGTATGTATGCTTATCCAACTTGTAAAGATTGTGCATGAACTAGCGCAGAAAAACGAAAGATAAATGAGGAACACCAAAGTCGATTTATTTAAGGAATGCTTGACAATATGCACACCCCTGCACTTTCCGTTAGGCTCCGCTACAAACAGCGGAAGAACGCTGAGCAGAGCATTGAAAATGTGTCCTCTGTGGTTGTAGAAATCAACGCCACTAGTTGCCCAAGTACGTCTAAAACAACCACCGCTGGTCCGGTTAGGATAAGTACGATCAGGGTGTCATCCACCCTCCAAACTGTTCCAAAATTTCAGGACGTCGATTTTGTTGGTGGTTGGAACATGATTTCTGCTGGAACCTTAGATCTTCAATTACACCCACTTGGCCTAAAATATATGAAGGAAGCGAAGCTGTATCTCTCCATCCTCCACCGATTGTATGCAGACCAGCTGGCCGGCTGACATTAATACGAGCTACACTTAGGGTACCGTCAGTTATCTGCACCAACTTTCCAGAGTCAACGTCAAATACATTAAAAGGAAAACAACTTGATGATATGAACAACTGAAACTCCATATTTGACACCACACGTGTTGCGATTAAGCCCGCCAAATTGACACTGATCACGCGTCACCAAAACCCACAGTTCCATAATGAAAGCGCACACGAAAATTGTGGACAGCAGAAAGCACTTTGACATGAGAGGACACGCGAACATTGCGTACACGTAAGAATGCGCACATGGATGATTGCGCACACTAAAAGTGAACACAAATTATCACTCTAGTCATAGGTGCCCATAATATCTACTTGTGACACTAACAAGATCCAATTTCTGATCTTTATATGGTTGGCGCTATCCAGTTTCGAATTTGCCTATTCCTGTGGTCAGCACAGGACGTCTGCACCTACAGAGGGACCATGGGTGGCTTGCGCTGCACCACCCACAGTTCTAACCACCCACACCATATCCAGTGTAAACCCGAAGGAATAAGACCGGGAGGCATGTGGATTGGAGCCACGTTTCATCAACGGAGCCGGCCCACACTACTCCACAGGAAAACGCAAGCACGCTGTATTTGGGAATCAAGCGCACACAAGGCGGTGGCTGGACCGTACTCCGCTCCATACTGAGTGCATGGGATTGCTCTTCGAGCCTAGTGTGGCCACAAGGACCGTGCACCCCGTCCCCTCCAGCAACGACCAAATGTCTTCTGGAGCCAGTATGGACGAGATAGTGGGTAATAGACAGGTAGGCACCTTGTCAACATGCACATCAAGCGCAGTCACACCGGGGATATCAAGCAATAGCCACTCACCTGAGAGAAAGACAACATAGAAACTAAATCGAGTAATGCACAAGGAAAAGGTAACATAAATCTTAAATTACTGAGCATATGAAATAAGTTGTTTACAAACGAATCCGAGATAAGTTCAGGGGGTCAGAAAGTATATTTTACGGAAGTTCCATACACACGAAAATGTCATCGAAATTAACTACAATTGGCTTAAGCGACGTGTGCAACTTTATAGAAGAGCGTACAGGTAGACATTTAAATGAGAAAGCATTAGGACAAAATTGAGAACCCACCACCTGAATTAAAGAGACTTAGTATGCAAGCACGTGGTTAGTAAATCGAATACAGCGTACTTACAAACGCTGAGCCGGTTCTGCCTACGTTCTTTGCAGGATCCGTCGTCGCTTCGGTAGTGGTCCCGAGTGACCTCGCTCATGGCTCAATAGGCCTGCCTGACCCAGGCACTCGCGACCGCATGTGCTACAGCACCATGCGCTTGATGTCGATGGAGTATCACCCACCGGTGCTTGCCGCTTCTTCTCTGCATGCATGAGGGCTTTCTCCCGCACTTCGGCAACTGCCTTCGTGATCAGATCACGCCATGCACCACGATCAACCGCCTTCGATTCTCATGACCTGCAATCAAGATTAGAACGTGAGAGGCTCACTTTGATCATGTCCTGGTAACGTAACTTTGGTTTCCCTACATGCCGCTTCCCATTACTCAGCTGACCATATAAGAGTTGTTTCGGTATCTGCGTTGAATCCATACATCTCACATGACCAAACCACAGCAGGTGTCTCAGCAAAAGCCTGCAGTCCACTGCCTACATTCCACTTTGTCGCAGCATTTCCTTGTCTGCAAATCTGTCGCCTCAAACGATACGCAAAATCCGTCGCAGACACTGCTGATGAAACCGCTCGAGATATCGCACATCCCGACGGTACATCGTCCACGTTTCACTGCCGTATAGAAGAACGGACAGCACCATGGATTTGTACACCATCAGTTTCGTGTCAATGGTAAACTGATAGTTGTTCCACACTCGGTACTCAAGCCTCCCGAATGCCGCCGCTGCCTTCGACACACGAACACGCAGCTCACTGTGTATCTGCTGATCAGTCGACATACCACCCCGAAGGTAGCTGAAGCGGGAGGTGGTTTCCAATACTTCAGCACCCATGCTGATTCGCGGCAATATTGAAGATTGCACCTCCGGTGAAGGCTGAAAGGGACAGGCAGTTTTGCTTTTGTTGATGGTGAGCCCGAATTTGGTCGCTGTCGAAGCCAGAGCACTAGTCATATGCTGCAACTCATCCTCGCCTTGTGCAAACAACGCACAGTCATCAGCAAACAGCAACATACGGATAGTTGTCTCACAGACTAGAGTTCTCGACCCGAAACGGTGGATGTTCAGCAACCCACCATCAATACGGTGCTCCACACGAACACCGTAAGCACAAGCCGCGTCAAAAGCACAAGACAACATTGCATGAAGATAGATATTAAACAGGGCAGGAGGTAAGACACAGCCTTGCTT